ATTTTGCCTGGTTCTCCTTATAGTAATAATGTTAATTCCTTTTCATCTCGATTTTTTCTTTCCCTCTCTTCCGTCTTTCATATTAACTAGGTTTTTGTTTTGTTTTTATTGTTGTTTTTTGTAATACATCTGATTTTAATTTAAGAATAGCAGTTATATCAATTTAAAAAAAAAAAGAAAATAAATGTTTCCTCAGATTCTGATAAATGTATGTTTTAGAGACCAGCTGGAACAGCTTTTTTCTGGATTGGCTAAGATGCAATGGCAAGATGTATCCACCAGATGGTGCTCAAATGACAACTGCTGTGTTTTTCAGGCAGTAATCTGTTGATTTCTTCAATGATGATTGAAGCTTTAAGCAGAAGAAACTAATCCATGGAATACGTACTGTTTGTTGAAGAAGTACGGCTGAGTTCCCAGCCTCTGAGACAGAGCCTGGCAGCACTGATTCACATCTTCATAAACCTGAAACAAACACGTTCAATATTAAAGCCGGAACTCTCCTGATCCAGATTTTAATTAAGAGTATTGATACCTTTTTAACCCTTTCACATGTTAGTGAAAGTTCACAATGACTTTCGTTCAGATTAGAAGTTAAAGAAAAATGTATAACCTTTGCATATTTTTTAGATGTATTCAAACATTTTGAAGGATTTTTAAGGCCCAATGGAACCCTGGAGCTTAAGAATGATGAGAGAGAGCCTGTTAGAGGCTTATGTTCAACCCCCCCCCCTCCCAACAGGACAGTGACTCTAAATATGGAGTCATAGCAACTGAAATAATCAGAAAGTGGCAAGTTCATGCTTTAGAGCGGCCCAGTCAAAGTGAATCTGGTGATTGGACGGTGTACGAGCTCACCTTCCAATCCGAATGAAATTTTTCAGGACACTGATGTTAGCTTAAGGTTGCTGGGTCGACACCAACCTGTTCGAGTGTTTTTCCTCCCCAGCCGATGGCGTTCATCTTCCTGCGCACCTCCCACTGCTTCTGATAGGCCAGAATTTTACCCAGAGGCCACGAGTACGGGCTGCTGTATCGGGGCCGGGAGATCTGCATAAAGTAGAGACGGTCTTAGAGAGAAGCCTGCTGCTGGTTTGATATCTGAGGACATGAACACACCAACCTCCGCCGCGGTGGCGTCGTCGCACCACTGAATGTAGAAGCTGTGTTAGTGTCGGCGTGCGGGCTGATTCTGACCATGTCGGTGTTTCTGTACCTCAGCACTTAGCAGCATGTTATAAACCAGCTCCATGTACGCCTTCATCTCAGCGCGCTGGACGTCGTCCAACGCATCGCTCAAAGAGTGACCCTGGAGAGAAAACATGTCAGTTTTCATCAGCTCAGGAGGGCTTGATGTCCTTCCACCAGTAAAATAACTGGGAGCTGAGTTCCTCCCACCTTCGCTTTGGTAAACTGCACTATGGGCCCCAGCTCCGATACCACCTGGTTCCCCACGTGGATGAAGGGGATCTTTCCTGAGAAAAGAGCAAACATCAGAAATGCATGCTGTGGCTGGTGTAGAAGGTTAGCTTAACCTGCAACTGACCGGATGGCGACATGTATTCAGCGTTTGGTCTGCAGACCACCTGCACCGGCAGACCGCACATCCTGAGGTAGGCCTGCAGGGGGAGACAGAGAAACGGTTCGCTACTGAAACAAGCTGATTTTCTTTAACCGGCTTACATCAACTTTCTGCTGACATAATGTTGAAAGTGGAGTTGAATTATTTTTGCAAAATAAATCTAAAGAAGCATAACAGCTGGATCGTATAGACCTAAAGGATACGCCCCATTTACCAAAGAAAAGACTAACTTCCATCACTATTTTCCTTCTTAATAAAATATCTAAATCATCTACCACTACGGACGCATGGACTGAAGTGTTTTCAGGGTTCCTACAGTATAAGGCAAGTTAAATTTAAGACTTTTTAAGGACCCGCAGGAACCCTGGTTTTTGACTGATCAACGGACTTGAAAAAAGCCTGAGGTGCCGATTCTGATTTTGACAAATACTCATTTTTGCATTAACCAACAATTCAGGACAGAGGTGTATAAAGCACTAAAAAACAAAACTAGGTCGAAGTAACAACTACAAAATTTATTTGGAAAAAGTATTTGTAGAAGCATGGCAGAGTATTTCTGCTTTAACTTTTAAATGTGGTTAGAATTTGTCGAAAATCTGGTTAAACCTTAGAAAATATAGAGATAGAGCCGATACTAGAATTGTCATAAAAAGTGGTACTGAGAAGTATACCATATCTGGATACAGTAGTAATTTAAAAATGATGTTTGCATACGTTTTGAAACTTTTTATTTTAGATTTCTGGATAATCAGCACATTAAATGAAAGATACTTTTGGTGACATTATTTATTTAGCATTTATCTAGCATTTATGAACCGTTGAGAAAGCATGCTCCATTTTGAGGTATAGAAGTGGAGTATCAGCCAATCAGTGAGCTCCCAAAATAAGGAATAAGGATCGAGGCCGATCATTTGATAGGTGCAACCCTGTTTGCCACTTTCTGATTGAGATTAAACTTGTGATTCAAGCTCTTAGAGGACAGGTGGGATTCAGTATGATGGAATTATTATTATTAAAAAGTTCTGGGGAAAAAAAACCCAAATCCAAATTTACCTGAACAGCAAGAGACGAGGCGTGGTCTGAGAGTAGGATTTGGTCATCTGTTTCAGAGAAAATACGTCATTTAGAATCATCTGAGAACTGCTTTCTTTTTTTTTTCCTTTCTGCAAACCTACTAACTTACCCTTTAAAGGTTGGTACAAGGTGGCATTCTCAGGCCACGGCTCTGCAGCTGTTGGGAGTTAAAAACACAGGAGGTAGAACAGATCAGCTTCTAATTACAAAGATCTACAACATAAAGGTCTAATAAGAAGGATTTACGTAAATTGTGACAAAAAGGATTGATCAAAATTCCTTCACAGAGACATAAGACATTGATTTCTAGTTATAATAACGGCTTGATGCAACTGAAGCTGTGAAAAGTTAGATTTGCTTCTCACATACGACAAGATTGGTTTAAAAATGTTCCTAAACATTTCAGCCTGAAACCCCAAAAATAATGCAATAGATTGGAAGCCCCCTAAAAATATTCTACTTTTTCTATACTTTTTTATGCATGGAAAATGTATATTCATAACAATTATTTATTAATTGTTTTAATTGTATTATAAATTATTTAATGAGTCATTATGATACATTTATATATTTCATTCACATTTTTGTCCTTAATGATATATTTTAGCCCTCTATAAACCTTAGGTATCACACCACAGTGATTGTGAAAACCCTGTCATGGTGGAATAAATCCTGATTTAAACTTCCTTTTCCCTTAAAATGTAATCAATGCATTCACTCAGATTACCTTTTTCTGATTCTAAAATGAGTCTTAACATCTGAAACATTAAAGTTTGACGTGAAGCTAAAAATATAGATGAACTTGATAAGAGAGCAAATACTAGATTTTATTTGAATATTTTACATGCAGAATGATAATTCAATAATTTTGCAGGTAAAGTTTTTCTGATCATATATTAAAGTCTGTTATCTGTGAGACTAAAATGATCTACAATATTAAATGTTTACTGTATCCTAAGCTGAAAGTCTGGAAAAACACATGAGCGATTGCTGATTAAATAGAAGTCAGGGTTTTTTTTTGTGCCTGTAAAGGCACAGAAGAAGCTCTTGTTTTATATTTTTCTTCCTGACATCCATCCTGTTTTCTACCTGGGATTAAACTGTCTGGTTGATAATAGGCTCACCGCTGATGCCTTGTTTACCTGAATGTTGGAGATCATTAAACAGACCAACCTCTTGTTTTAAAGGCGTTAACACTTGTTAATTTTTAATTGATTATTATTTTTATTTTTTGAATGGCAGCTGTTATTTAAGCTGCAGATTTCAAACTGGAGCAGTCTATTCACCAATTGTTCACACTATATTTATTTTCATTATTATTTCCACTTATTTCCTCGCTGTGTTTGCATTTAGAGGACACCCTACAGTTAGCCTTGGGGAGCTAGCCGGCTAAAGTTAGCTCGAGGTAACAGTTCGTTAATGAGGAACTAACTAACCGCATTACCTGCCATCTGCGACACGAAAGCCTCCGCCGCCAGAGACATGTTGTAATATTCTCTCTGTTGGGTTTTAACTAGAATCTGAGCTGACCGCAGTGATGCTTCATGTCAGGCTAAGGACAAGTATTCAACAGTCATTCAATCTTCCGCCTTCGTTTAATGTCCCCTAGAAACAGAAGTGCGCTGATGTTTAGTTCCACTTTCCCCCCAGCGCTCAAATGGTTGCATGAAAGGCTTACCTCATTCAGAAAAAAAAAAAGATTATGGTATGAGTTTTTTTATTTGCTTTTGGACAGCTGAGCAGGAATCACTCAAATGAATCTATAAAGGTTTAATTCGTTGTGTGTTCAGATACAGGTCCTTCTCAAAATATTAGCATATTGTGATAAAGTTCATTATTTTCCATAAAGTTATGATAAAATTTGAACATTCATATATTTTAGATTCATGGCACACTAACTGAAATGTTTTAGGTATTTTATTGTCTTAATACGGATGATTTTGGCATACAGCTCATGAAAACACAAAATTCCTATCTCACAAAATTAGCATATCGTGAAAAAGGTCTCTAAACGAGCTATGCACCTAAACATCTGAATCAACCAATTAACTCTAAACACCTGCAAAAGATTCCTGAGGCCTTCGAAACTCCCAGCCTGGTTCATCGCTCAAAACCCAAATCATGGGTAAGACTGCCGACCTGACTGCTGTCCAGAAGGCCATCATTGACACCCTCAAGCAAGAGGGTATGACACAGAAAGATATTTCTGAACGAATAGGCTGTTCCCAGAGTGCTGTTTCAAGGCACCTCAGTGGGAGGTCTGTGGGAATTAAAAAGTGTGGTAGAAAACGCTGCAAAACGAGAAGAGATGACCGAACCCTGAGGAAGATTGTGAAGGAGGGCAGATTCCAGACCTTTGGGGACCAGCAGAAGCAGTGGACTGAGTCTGGAGTAGAAAGATCCAGAGCCACCGTACACAGGCGTGTGCAGGAAATGGGCTACAGGTGCCGCATTCGCCTGACCTGGGCTACAGAGAAGCAGCACTGGACTGCTGCACAGCGGTCCAAAGTACTTTTTTCAGATGAAAGCAAATTTTGCATGGATTAACTGATTAATCAAGGTGTGTCTGACCTCAGTAACCATGACCAGATGCATCTGGAATAATCAGTTCATCCAGTAATGAAAGACAGGAAACAAATGAATGATGAATTAAAAAAAGCTGCCTTAAGTTCAGGAGGTAGTGGAGTTGTGCATACAGGCCATCCTACTCTTTTATTTTTCAATGATTAATATTCTTTACAGTTGTCACAAGAATAACACCTACATCTGCATTATAAGCAGAAATGGCAGAAATTAAACTTTAGTAGAACAAATTTGAATTCATTCTACATACTGGTTTATGTTAAGGAGTTCTAATAAAATCCATCCATGTCAAGAGATTTAAAAACTAAAACTTGGAAGATGGAAAAGTTATTTTGGCCAGACAGCAGATACATTTATAGGACTTTTTTTTTAAATTAAGAAAGTTAATTATTCCAATCCATCTAACTCTGCTTAAGAAGAAAAACTAGAAAAATCCAGAAGGTGCTGGAAGGCTCCTGGAAACTGCATGGTTATAGGTAGATGCACAAAAACTGTCAAAAAAGAGAATGTACTGTAAACCCTCATCTGATGATCCACTTGTTTCCGCTCAATGTCAAGCCCAGAGGCTAAACTGAGGGCAATATTATGCTGTGGGACCAAAACCAAGTAAGACCTGGATTTGAGGGGTTTCATTTGGTTAAAAGCAGCATAGGAAGCAATGTTATTGGTTCTGTGGAGAAGGCAGGTGGATGTCCTCGGGTCTTCAGGACATATTTAGGAGCCAAGGATGTTGTTATTAGAGCCATCCAAACCTCCCTCTGCCAACATGCTGACAACAAATCTTGCAGTAAGCATCTCATCCCTGTGACCAGTACTTCCAACCGACATCCTGGACCCAGGACTTCCTGGGCAAGTCCTGAGGTAAGACTGATCAAATTCTGGTCACTTCCAAAAAATACCTCAATACACTGTCACATTTATTATTAAACCAATCATGGAGTTGGTCTAAGATACAAATAACAAACCCACCAGAAATGCACAGCAGCATTAGAGGGAGCCTTATTTTCAGCCTTGCACTGCAACTAGCTCTGACCAGTCAGGTAGCTGTGGCTAACATTCAGCTATTGTATGCAGCTCATATCAAAAACATTTCACAGATGGATGGAGAGTTTGTTTAACAAATACATAAACAAATAGATAAATATAATGATGATTTAAAAAAACAGGCGATCAACATGGCTCGCAGTACACAACAAACAAACAATGGTGCTGTCCAGGGTGCTGAAAGAGACCCATCACCTGCTCCATATGTAATAAATCATTAAAAAACTCAACGCTGAAAACTTAGTGAGATTCTTTTAATAAAAAAAAAAACAGCAAGTAGCTCAAGGAAAGTAAATATAACCTGAAAGTGGACTATTTGTGGATTTCTAATGTTTTAAGAGCAACCTGCTTCCCCCCAAACAATGAACCCAAACAATTATCTCTACAGTTGTCTCTTACTCTGATGTAATACCAGTACAAGAAGAGTAATCTTATTTAAAACAAATAGAGAAAAGAATGAGCTAGGTTGCCAGTGACCAACAGTGATATAATGCAATTATAACTGTGCCTCTACATATCTCTTGGCCCATTCTCCTAAAGTCGACAATACCAACCATCTCATTAAAAGCAAACAAAGAGAATGCATAGAAATTCCCCTATTCCTTTTTTTTCTTTCTTTCTGCGATCTCTAAACTAATTTGTTTTGTTAGTTAATTGATGCAGGTTCATGATTTATTTTGCTTATATGAAATGAGTGGTGCATTCCTTAAATTAACTCAACTCCCCTATATGTTTTATTTATAAAGCCATTTAAAACAACCATAGTTGCCACAAGTGCTGTAAATATCAGGTAAATTAAAAATTTTATAAAAAACAACATAGAAGTTTAAAGGAACAGAACAAATATAATGACATAAATTAATTAAAACAAAATAAAAAAAACAAAAAAAAACAATAGAACATCAACGCAAAAACAGAGGGAGCCTCATGCTGTGTTAAACTCCAAAGAATAAAAATAGTTTTTAAGATGCGTTTTAAATTGAAGAGGATTGTCTAATTAGGAGGAGCTCATTCCGCAGTTTTGGAGTAGCAACTGGAAAAGCTGCGTCCCCTCTGAGCTTCTGTTTGGCCCTCAGTACCCCCAGAGCTGCAGGTCAGCTGACCTGAGGAACCAAGTGGGAGCATAGGGGTGGAAAAACTCAGAAAGTTAGGGAGGAGCCAATCCATTTAAAGACCTAAGAAGAAATAAAAAATCTTAAAATGAACTCTAAAATGCACAGGCAGGCAATGGAGGGAGGCCTGGATGGGAGTTCTGTGCTCCCTCTTACGTATTCCAGTGAAAAGGAGAGCAGCTGCATTTTGCACCAACCATACCAACCATATTTATTTAAATTGGCTAGATAATTTGAATATGTTGTTCTCTTTACAAAAAGACAATAACAACAAATATCTGATTCTGTTGATGGTCATTATGAAACGGATTTATGAAAGTGAAGAGCATTTCAATCCTTGTTTTTATAATATTGCTTACATAAATTTACGTTTTGGCGATGTACTGTATATATTAAATTCATAGAAAGCTCAGGAATACGTATATCACATTTCATATGTAAGACTAGTCAAAGTGTGTTATTGAAACATTAAAGTATGTCATATAAACATTGAAAGCATTATAGAAGGGTGCAGAAATAGGATGTTTTTAAAGGTTTTTTACAAAATCTAACATAAAAAACCCAGAGTGAGGCCTGCAGATTGATAGAGACCATAATGGCATGTCTTAGAACTGCGCCGATGTTCTCCACTTTCTTACTTTTGGAGAGGATTAGCATGATTCCCAACTGCAACTTTTTAGGCAGACCTATGAAGACACTGCTGCAGTTATCAAGATGAAAGAATGAATTAGTATTTCAAGGACCTGCAGAATAATCCAATCATGGAGATGTTCTCTAGGACGGTGGTCTTCAACAGGGGTCCGTGACCCCTAGGGGGTCCACAGAGGTACTACATGGGGGTCAGGAAAGTTTTGGTTGATTACTTTTTTTTTTTTTTTATATTGCCCCCTGCATTTTTTCCACTAATTGAAATGTCTTTAAATACACATTAACATGAATTCAGATAAATGGAGGCAGAAGATGTCTTTCAGTCATCAATGCACGCATTCAGCGACACATAGGAGCTCTTTCAAGCTGGGCCCCGTTTCATTCACAACCCCTGTCCCATAAAACAGGAATCAGAATCACTAATACTTTAATAATTACGAGGTGAAATTACTTTTGTTACATTAATCCATATATAGAGTGACTATAG